ATTAATGAACGAAGGGAATGACGAAACGTCAAATTCGTGAGGCATGCATCATCGTTAAACGGATCATTTATCGCAGTCTCGAATCATGCGAAAGCTATGCAGCAGCTCAAAAAACGCGAGAGATCCGCCCAAACAGTTCCGTTGTACGAGGTTCACTTCATCAAGACCGCAGAATCGACTCAATTAACCTTATTACAGTTTCATCGCGAGCGTGACGGCGAGCACCAGCGTATCATCCGAAAATAACTCTCGATGATTGTTTATCGATTCGCGTAACGAGAACAGCGAAAATCGGTATTGTTGCAACATGCAACAATACGTGATACTCTGCAAAATGCGTAAGTACAATTATCGCAAGGGGAAAAAAAAATGTCTTTCAAAGTCAATATCTTTTTTAATATAAGAACAAGTTTTCTCATTTGAGCGTCTCATTTCTCGCACATCCTCAAAATTACGTCGATTAATTAGCAGAAGACTTATGTTGAGTAACCGAAGCGAGAGAAAAAGAGAAAGAGAGACAGAAAGAGAGACATTAAGTGTTCCATCATCTGGGTCGCGTCAAGACATTTGTTCAAACACATTTACTCCTCGGTAAACACAATTCGCAGTTCCCCCCCCTTTTTTTTTCTCCTACTTCACGAGCGAACGTGAGCGCTTTTCCTCTACATATTTCAATGCCCACCTCATCTCTTATCGCCCATGTCGTCGCTTTTCTTGTCCAGAGCGACTTCGATCAATAGCGACACAATGAGCCTGACCGGCGGGTAAATACATGCGAATTGCGTGTACATGCCATTCATGCGATATAACATAACGAGAACGTCGATAGAGGCAAAAACAAGAATAAAAAAAAATATCTACTATTCTCCGTTACTTCTTTTCTAATATATATTTTTCTATATCACGAGAAAACGAATACGATCAGAGATGCAAATGCTTAATTCATCAGCATTTTAAATATATATGCGTCATTCTTAGACAATAAAAATTCTCTACCAAAGAAAATCAACGTGATGATTAATAATTAATAATTTATTAATGAATATTGTAATTAACGTAGCAGTATTTCCAGAGAAAAAATTTATGCGTCATTAAAAGGAATATTAAAGAATATTTCTTTTCAGGTGAATAATGACTTACTGCGATAAGAAAAGGGCGAATGAAATTTCTAAGTATCTGCTTAAACTCGAAAAACAAGATTATTTGAGAATTCCTTGATTTTCAAAACAATGTACGAAAAATTCTAGATAAAATGAAAGAGAGAACATTTCCAAATGTATCTTACACATTAATGTTTATTGTGTAAAGTTTTTAATGTTTTCCATTCATAAAAGTTTATAAATCATAAAATTAAGAATCACTCGAGTTTCAATAAGTAAATTTGAAAAATTTTGAAAGAAACTTAAGTATTCTAACAAATAAATATTTATTATTTTGCATAAATTTTTAAAAGTTACGAAGAAAAAATATATAATATATAACTGATACAAAATTTAATTCTTATAAAATTATTAAAATAAAAATCTGTCTTTAATAAACCTTATAAAATTGTACGTAAGACGAAATCGTTGTTTTCAATATTAAATATTGAATTATAAAATTAGTGTAAAATGGATGAGTCCACTGTTATCGTTAAAAATTCAATCAATAAATTCCCGATTAATAACAAAGACAAAATATTAGCAAAATCAAATTAAAAAAAAAAAAGTTTCCCAATTCTTCAAGGCATAAACACATTTCCTGAGAATTCCAAGCCTTTCTAAATTGTTCCAGAGACATCCCGTTTTAGATAGGCAGAAGAGAAGCAACTGGTGCTCGCTTACCAATACATCGTAGCAGATCTCGCGCAATTCCTTCTCGACCTTTTCCCGATATTCCTTGGCCATTTGTTGTTTTCGTTCAGAGCCTTCGGTCTTCTGCTCAATGGAGGAAATTACCCGCCACGAGCTACGTCTCGCTCCTACGACATTCTTGTATGCCACCGAGAGCAGGTTCCTCTCTTCGTTCGACAGCTCGACTCCCGTCTCGGTGACCGCCTTCATCGCGGACGCCATGTCGTCATACCTTTCCGCCTGCTCAGCAAGCTTCGCACGCTGCACTAATTCCTCCTTATCCACGGACATTGTGTCGGCTGAAATCAGAAAAAGGACGCGACATCAGCGAAACGTCAAGTTTCGATTCTCCGCGAAAGATCTCTCGCCGATATGCAGTGTATTCGTAAACATTGTATTCGTAAAAAGTTAGAAAAGAGAAAATCAATTATTAAATTGTAAAATAAAAAAAAAAATAAGTATGGTAGATCTTAAAAATTCCAAAAATATTCATATTGTAGACTCCAAGACTCCAGAGTGTAACATTAAAAAAAAGATATCGATATAATGCAGTTTGAAAAATAAGTCATTCCTATATTTCAAGTTTCAAGAATTTTGCTGAGAATAACATCGATCTATGTTCTAAATTTTCGGAATGGCAAGAATTTATATGGGGAAATGACTCATGGGAAATGGAATATAAAAGAATACAATAGAATGTAGAAGATCGAGATTCTTGCAGGTCTCTCGACCTTGTTCAGATGCCTTTTCTACCATGCAGCGCCGTTCGGGATGTTCTCTAAAATATAAAATCGTGCGACGCAAAATAATATCCCGAAATACCTGTAACTTTTAATGTAGTTAAATTTTTCATCGCGGCGGATAATAAAGATAAGAGGCGGATGAAAAGAAAAAGATAAGAACAGCCTCCGAGAGGAGCGGAAAGGCTGTCGAATGAAGGCAGGTCGAGATACAACACCGGGAGGATGCAATACGCGATGCACAAAGCGCGGCAGATGTGTTTCAATGTCGCCGGGTTTCTTTTGTGTGAGAGGTTGGGAAGAATAGGTCTCGCACACCGACGCGTTTAGAAGCCAGATGCAACGACGACGATGACGACGACGACGGCACAACGACGATGACAACGACGTTGCGTATCCACTCACGAAACACGACTGGCCTCGTTCGCCTCGGCGAACGATCGACACATGTTTGTTCCGGAGAAGAGACGACCTTTTCCCTTTCCGCGTCACGTGCGCGTAACGAGATGCATCTCTCTCCGAGATGTTCCACGAGAAGAATCCGAATATCAGAAAGACATTCTTAAAAAATGTCACGCAAAAAGACGCAAGAGTAAAGAAAATATGTTTGTTTTTGCTGAAAATTCTCAAGCTGCAAAATCATCGATTTCTTATTTTTAATAATTATTTATGATAATTTCCAGCAATTTATATTAATTTCTAGAACAGCTTTAATTTTATTTTAATTTATTTTTAATTTTTTTTAGTTCTAGAAGATAAAAAATAAATTAAACTGAGATAAAAATAGAGATTAAAATGGAAATTAATTACGTGATAAAGATAGATATTATAGGCTTCTTGTATTGTTTTTGACTTGAAAAAAGCGTGCATTCCTAACGTACAACGTATCTTTAAGCTGCCCTGCAGCTGCCAAATTTATCTTGCAGCTAGAATTGCAGGTAGAATTTTCTTTCTCTGATCATGAAAAAGAAAAGAGAAGAAAAAAAAAAAGAGAAATCCTATACCTTCAAAAGCGAAGAGATATTTCGAAATTTTTTCTGAACTAAACATAAATAACATTATCTTCTGGTCTACTAGATTATAATATCTGTTTTACTTTTCTAATGTTACAACAAAGGAAAAAAAAAGACAGACTACGTCAAGATATCGAAGTGTTTTCCTCAATTCGAATCTAAATGAGTACTTATCGCTGAGGAATCGATGACGTATGTACATGACTTGATAAACGCTGTCAATAAAGAGGACCCCGTTATAAGAATTGCACAGCCACAATTGAGTTTACCGCGGCAAACCGCATTTCCATGGAAACCCATGCAAAGCACCTATTTCCGACATGAAAGCGAAAGATTTGCCTCCATGGAAATGGAAGATCACGTGGCCCTTTGGGTATTATCGACCCAAGTACACGAGCGCGACAAAAGTATATTACGTAAGACCCATGACTCGTAACTTGGAATATTAATATCAAATAATACTCAAACGAGGATTTCATGTTAAACGATATTTTACAAATGATAACAGATGTAAATAGCGGCAATAATTTTAATAATCGAGCATTATACATAATATATATTTAATATTTAAATACGCGACTCCTTTCGAATTATTAATAATTTCATTCTCATTCTTTCAAACGACTTGAGTCATATCTCGGCTTTAATTTTCGCTTATCCTTCTTCCGCATGACGGGCTGCAATTTTTATTCAGCCTCCTTTTATTCAAAGTGTCGAGATTAATCTGGATACTTTTTCCATTCAGAAGCACCGGTACGTAATTAATTTCTTTCCGATCTTATCAGAAATATCAACACTCGGAATTACGATCTATCTCGGCACTGTTATCTCTAATCTGTCATTTTAATCTATCGGACGGTTAACGAAGCAGCATGTAACCACACGAGATTATCCAGATTGCGTAACGATCGCCCGAGTATTTTTTTCATTTCATTCTTTCAGGTATTTTTAATCTAATAATGAACTCAACATTGTTTCATCGAAGCTTATTGCCTTCTCAACTAATTTTATCATCCTAAATCTTAATTTCGAGTAGCCCTCGTTTATGAGAAATTCGAGATGGCATGGATGGCAATTAATCCTTTCTCTTCTTTCCTCCTTTTTATTTGACTCGCATCTGCTGATCAAATGCGATA